TGAGTCACAAGTTAATCGACCAGGGTCTACTTCATCTGATAGCATGGCTCATTTCAGGAGATCATGGGATATCGAGGATGTTTTGCAGACATCACTCAGTCTCTTGGCAGAGGCTTGGGCACCAGGTACCAGACGTTCTTACGGGTCGGCTTGGAGAAAGTGGACTAATTGGTGCGTGGGATGATCGGTTGATCCCATATCAGCTCCAGTGAAATCAATCTTGCAATTTCTGACTCTGCTCTTCGAAGAAGGAAAAGCTTTTCGTACTATAAACCTGTACAGATCAGCTGTATCTCCAATAGGTAAACATGCCGTCATCTGTCGTTTGCTCAAAGGCATCCATTTTTCTCGACCTCCTCAGGCTCGATATTCTTCCTTTTGGGATGTTAATGTGATTTTTCATTTTCTCGAGTCTTGGCCCTTGACTCACAAACTTTCTCTTAACCTCTTAAGGACCAAACTTCTGGAATAAAAGGGAATCATGACATGTCACACATGTCTTGTGTCCTTAAGGGGTTAAACAATTATCAGTCAAGCTGTTTATGTTGTTTTGTTTACTTTTATTTAAACGTGTTGCCGATGTCAGAGCGTTGGACTGGCAAGCACATGTTTTTGTTCCAAACGGAGTATAATGTTTAATGTTTCATGTAGGACCAAATCCTCGACTAAGGAGGTTTTTTACCCATTGTTTCCAGACAACCCAAACCTGTGCCCAGTTTTATGTCTTAAGGAATACGAGCACCGTATGATCTCGCTCCGTTAAAATTAACTCCATCCATTATTCATCTCCTTTCAAGTGCCACATCTACCAGTATCTACTCCTACTTTAGCTTCTTGGATCAAGTGGTTATTGTCCGTTGCAGGCAAAGATTTTTTCTTCCCACTCCATTCGTGTGGCTATGGCTTCTAAGGCTTCTATGATAGGTTGTAAATTGGAAGACATCCTACGATCGGCTGATTGGTCGAATTAATCTACGTTTTGTAATTTCTATTTTTGCCCGGTGCAACATATTTCCAGTATAGTAGTTGCTCAGCTTTAAAATAGCATAATAGGAGCGTCCATGTCTTTAATAAAATTAACAGATTTTACTATTAACATGACGTAAAGTCATGATTTTACTAATGACACGGAGGCGAGTATTATTACTACCCACCCTACCCGTGTTGGTGGTTAATTTACAGGTCATTCATTAGGCCTTTTGGATGAAACAACATGGTAGGTACAAATGTCATACTTGGCATGCAGGCGTGTAATGTATCCGATAAATATAACTTTTATGATACTTATAACGATTGATTAACATGGTTGATGAGTTTGATGATGTTACCATATATTTTCTTCTCTTTTAGCTTGAATACACCTTAAAGAGTTGGCGGTTGAAGTTGTTCCTAGTTGAATATCTGGATATGGGTTTGTTTCGGGAGTTCGAGTTTTTTGTTGGAATACTTTGGACCCTACAATAATGGTCTTCGGGATCTACCCAGAAAGAGGAGGAGTCAAGGAGCACCACACCCATATGGACAGTATTGGATCTTGATTGGTGCCAGTGTTACTATGCTATTGCTATGTTTATTTCTATGATTCTCTCATACTTCCTTCCTTGCTGCTGGGAGAATGAATAATACTAGCCACCGTGTCATTAATAAAATCATGACTTTACGTCATGTTAATAGTAAAATCTGGTAATTATATTCTGTTTTTGCAAGTATGCATCTAGTTGCTGTTTAAACATCTGTACGGACTCTAATAAAACCACTTCGTCATGCAGAGAGTTCCACACCCTTATTGTTCTAAAAACCCTTTTCCTTTGCCCTAGACCAGCGTCTCCCAATTGAGGTTCTGCGGAACACCAATAGGGGTTCCGCCAAAAGTTTACAAAATAAAATGTCCTCGGGCGGCGAGTGAGCAGTGATCTCCCAGCTCAGCTCCCTCTGGAGCCAGAATATGACGTCACTCCGGCTCCGGCATCACTAAAAGGCGCGCGAGGGAGCTGAGAAGGGAGCTCACTGCTCCCTCTCGCCGCCCGCACGCTAGCCGCTCAGCTGCCCCACTGGACCCCACGGACTGCTCGCCAGCTGCCCCACTGGACCACAGGGACTCCATGCAAGCACTCCTAAAGGTAGGGGGGCTGGGTGGATGAAAAATGTAAAACTAAATAAATGTGTGTCTGTTAGGGAGTTTGTATCTGTTTGTGTGCCTGTCAAAGAGTATATGTGTGCTTTTGTTAGTGAGTGTGTGAGAGTGTATGTGTTTGTCAGTGAGAGTGTATGTGTTCTTGTCAGTGAGAGTATGTGTGTCTGTAAAAGAGTATGTGTGTTTGTCAGTGAGAGTGTACAGTGCCTTGCAAAAGTATTCACCCCCTTGGCATTTTTCGTGTTTTCTGGCCTCACAACCTGGAATTAACATGGATTGTTTGAGGATTTGCATCATTTAATTTACAGAACATGCCCACAACTTTGAAGATGTTTTTTTTTTTTTTATTGTGAAGTAAACGACAAATAGGACAAAATAACAGAAAAAGTCAATGTGCATAACTATTCACCCCCCTAAAGTCAATACTTTGTAGAGCCACCTTTTCCGGCAATCACACCTCCAAGTTGCTTTGGATAAGTCTCTATGACATCTTACCACTGGGATTTTTGCCCATTCCTCCTTGCAAAACTGCTCCAGCTCCTTCAAGTTGGATGGTTTGCGCTTGTGAACAGCAATCTTTACGTCTGACCACAGATTTTCTATTGGATTGAGGTCTGCGCTTTGACTAGGCCATTCCAACATGTTTACATGTTTCCCCTTAAACCACTCAAGTGTTGCTTTAGCAGTGTGTTTGGGATCATTGTCCTGCTGGAAGGTGAACCTCTGCCCTAGCCTCAAATCATGCACAGAGTGGTACAGGTTTTGCTCAAGAATATCCCTTTATTTAGCACTATCCATCTTTCTCTGACCAGTTTCCCAGTCCCGACTGCTGAAAAACATCCCCACAGCATGATGCTGCCACCACCATGTTTCACTGTGGGGATGGTGTTCTTTGGGTGATGTGATGTGTTGGATTTGCGCCAGACATAGCGTTTTCTTTGATGGCTGAAAAGTGCAATTTTAGTCTCATCAGACCAGAGCACCTTCCTCCATGCATTTTGGGAGTCTCTTACATGCCTTTTCGCAAACTCAAAACGTGCCATTTTGTTTTTTGCTGAAAGTAATGGCTTTCTTCTGGCCACTCTGCCATAAAGCCCAACTCTATTGTCGTCCTATGTACAGATACTCCAGTCTCTGCTGTGGAACTCTGCAGCTCCTCCAGGGTTACCTTAGGTTTCTGTGCTGCCTCTCTGATTAATGCCCTCCTTGCCCGGTCCGTGAGTTTTGGTGGGCGGCCGTCTCTTGGCAGGTTTGCTGTTGTGCCATGTTCTTTCCATTCGGTTATGATAGATTTGATGGTGCTCCTGGGGATCAAAGAATTGGATATTTTTTTATAACCTGACCCTTACTTGTACTTCTCAACAACATTGTCCCTTACTTGTTTGGAGAGATCCTTGGTATTCATGGCAGTGTTTGGTTAGTGGTGCATCTTGCTTAGGTGTTGCAGCCTCTGGGGCATTTCAAAAAAGGTGTGTATATGTAATGAAAGATCATGTGACACTTATATTGCACACAGGTGGACATCATTTCACTAATTATTCACTAATTGGTTGCACCAGAGCTTTTTGTGGGCTTCATAACAAAGGGGGTGAATACATACGCACATGCCAATTTTCTGTTTTCTATTTCGAAAGAATAGTTTTATGTATATATTTTTCTCATTTCACTTCACCAACTTAGACTATTGTGTTCTGATCCATCACATAAAATTCAGAATAGCTAAAAAGTCAAGGGGGGTGAATACTTTTGCAAGGCACTGTAGATTATGCCCCCGTAGTCTCACTGCTCAATTCTCTGCCAATTAGCAGCTAAATCACTTTGTTTATACAGCCCGAGTTACACCAATCTTCATATTACTTACACAGCCTTTCTATGTGTGACAAAACCATTCACCCCAACTTCTCACTTATGAGCTAAAGTCACACTCCCTGGTTTCCCCCTTATTCTTTATTAGGCACAGCCCAGAATAGCGCTCTAACTCCAACCTATGGGTGACTGAGCCTTGCAGGGAAAACAGCGAGTGTCCTAGTGGTCACAAGGCAGTAGACACGGATCGGAAATCAGCTGCGGCCTGTGGGGATATTTATGGGATAATAATAGTAAACAGTTGAGAATTGCCCACTAATTCAATTCTCAGATCCCAAAGAACGTTTATCGTGTTAAGTGGAAAGTATTTCATATAATAATCACAATGTATAAAAATAGATTTTATTTATGATAACCAATAATTAACAAATAATATTATGTAACATGCATGACAATAATCAATGAATATCCAGTATAAAATGATATGCAATACAAAGGAATGGGTATTACGTTTCAATGGCTAAACGGCATTTTCTGTCAAGAATTCTGACGATTTATGAGGTATCCTTAACACAGACTTAAGTGAAACTTTTCACAGCGAAGAACAGAATTCCTCAGAGTGCAGCGTAAGGTCGTAAAGTTTAGCAGACAGTTAGAATAACCCTTTCAATGCTGGCAAGATCTCCTAGGTAGTTAAGATCTATTCTTATGTATTTTTAAATAAAATAACATTTAACCCAGTTCATTAGTCATTTTCTTAAAATCATCCAATAAGAGAATTTACCACATTATATAAGCAGATTTTTAATTTGTCTAAAAGATATCTTATCTTAATTTAGAGCAAATCAATACACCTGGATAAAAACAGCGGTATGCTAACACGTGATAATATCACATCAATATATAATTATTCTTAATTCCACCTGCAGAATGGAATGTTTATAACTATATATTCTTAGTTAACTAAGATTTCTTAATATGGAAATCTGACCGTGCTTTATCCAGTCATATATAATGATATTAATACATTTAAATTAATTTAATTAATTAAATGAAACCAGTATAATTACCAGTTGAGTAGATATTTCATCCGATTGGTAGTCTCAGGAACTTATTTGGATGTCTCTCTCTGCATGGAGGTTGGAGTCCCCAAACTTCCAATTCCTCTCTCCTCTTTTTCTTTGCATATCTCTTGGATCTCCTGCCCTGTATCTCGTCCCTTTGTCTTAACTTTTAAAGGGCCAGACTCTCTGTACGTCATCAGTTGATAACCCAATAGAAGCACTAGAGGTGTGGTTATCTTCCAGATCGCAAATTAGTTATTTGGTCTGTAGAGGGCAGTCTTGTCCCACTAAACATACCTATCCAGGAAAGAGTTAACTTTTCCTGGTGGCTATTTTGACGTCATTTTGCTTATCTCAAATGACCACTATAACTTACGTATCCTTCAAAGATCAAAGGGTTTCCTAAATTTTGTCCAGACTATATGTCTGCAAATCTGCTATAATTTCTGATATGGCAGATCATGAACTAAGTTTACCCTTTTCCATACAATGGTACCTTATATATATATAGACAGTTAAATTTTATTATTTAATCTTCTCTGTCACAATTGTCTGGGTTTAGATTTGATTATATTCAATTAGCATTAGACAGCCTGTCCAACCCCCTTCCTTATCACTTGGTTTGTATATACTATGCATTCCTTAGCTCTGGCAAAGAGGCCAGTCTTACAGAAAGAATTTTGTGTCTTTTTGTTTTTGTTAACTTGGAATAACAAAATGGAGTCTGGTCTGTTCAGAGTGACTCAGAATATACACTTTTAGTTTCTATCTTAGCACAAAATGTCTGCCGATATAAATACCCTGACAGGCCGATTAAGACTTTAACACTGTAAGTGCGACAAGAGTGCTCTTCTGCCGAGAGGATGTTGAGAGCTATCTGGAGATATAAGACATGTGGGGGTTATATGTGTAATTTCATATGTTTTGGGGTGTATTGCAATGGTGCCCTGGAAGATAAATAACTTAGCGATTACTGATCTAGTTATCTCCCAGACTCAGACGCCAGGGTAGAATTTACTTTATACGTTATAGCTATAATAGGTATCCAGTGTAGAGAGGGAAGTCACACTAAGCACTTCCTTTAACCCCCTGACGACCGATGACGGTTCCGTAATCGGAAACAACCCCTTGAGGACCGATGACGGTCCTGAACCGTCATAACGGTCTGGGGGTACTTATCTGATCGCCGTCGTACTCCCGGCGGTGATCAGCGTTCCTCCCAGTCCAAGGAGACTGCCTGTCTGCCCAGGCAGTCTCCCCGCAGCAGATCAGGATCCCGCGGTCACGTGATCACTCGATCACATGGCCGCAATAGATGCCTGTGTATCTGCCTGTGTATTTGTCTGTGTTGACAGGTAGTCCCCCTGCACCTGTAAAATAAAAAAAGTTAAAAAGTCAATCAGTGTAAAAAAAAAATATATATGTGTATATATATGATATATATACATGTATTATATCTATATATAATATATGTATATATATCATATATATAATGTCATACTAAGTGTATTTTTATATTTATATATACATATATTAATATAAAAATACACGTATAATTAAATTACACACGTATATATATAATATATATAATAACTAAATATATTGTATATATATATTATTATAAAATACAACTAAGTAAATAAAAATAAATAAAAAATTACAAATAATTTTTCATAATTTAAAAAAAATTATATATATATATATGTAATTTTATTCTAAGTGTATTTTGATATTAATATATATATATTTATATCAAAATACACTTAGAATGAAATGATATATATATATATATATATGTATAAATAAATAAATAAAAATAATACGAAATATACATATGTCCATATACATAATTACATAAATAATTTCATAAATATACACGTAGACTTCAAATATATAAATATGTATATATATTTAAACTCTACGTGCATATTTATGTAATATTTTTACATAATTAATTTTATTGATTGCAATTTGAGGGACATGCCTGACAACCCAGTCCGAAAGTCCAGAGAATTTAATTTGCTACCACTGTGTTTAACCCTGTAACTTTCTATGACACCCTGAAACCTGTACATGGGGGGTACTGTTTTACTCAGGAGACTTCGCTGAACACAAATATTAGTCTTTCAAAACAGTAAAACATATCACAGCGATGATATTGTCAGTAAAAGTGAACTTTTTTGCATTTTTCACATACAAACGGCACTTTCACGATATTATTGCTGTGATATGTTTTACTGTTCTGAAACACAAATATTGTGTTCAGCGAATTCTCACGAGTATAACAGTACCCCACATGTAGAGGTTTTATAGTGTTTTTGAAAGTTACAGGGTCAAATATAAGGCTTGATTTTACTTTTTTTTTTTATTGAAATTTGTCAGATTGGTTATGTTGCCTTTGAGAGCGTACGGTAGCCCAGGAATGAGAATTACCCCCATGATGGTATACCATTTGCAAAAGAAGACAACCCAAGGTATTGCAAATGGGGTATGTTCAGCCTTTTTTAGTAGCCACTTAGTCACAAACACTGGCCAAAGTTAGCGTTTCTTGCATTTTTAACACGCAAACAAAGATAAATGCTAACTTTGGCCAGTGTTTGTGACTAAGTGGCTACTAAAAAAGACCGGACATACCCCATATTGAATACCGTGGGTTGTCTACTTTAAAAAAAAAATGTACATGTGGGGTGTGATTCAGAGATTTATGACAGATAATAGTGTTACGATGTCACTATTGATACATTTAAAAAATATATATATTGAAACAGCAATTTCCTACTTGTACCTATAGCCGTATAACTTGCAAAAAAAAAGCAAAAAAGCCATAAACACTGGGTGTTTTTAAACTCTGGACAAAATTTTGAATCTATTTAGCAGTTTTTTTCATTAGCTTTTGTAGATAAGTAAAAGATTTTTCAAGTAAAAGTTATTTTTTTTCAATTTCTCACCATATTTTTTTTAAGTAAAATATAAGACATGATACAAATAATGGTATGTAAAGAAAGCCCTTCTTGTCCTGAAAAAAACCAATATATAACTTGTATTGGAAGAGTAAATGAGAGAGCGGAAAGTTACAGCTAAACACAAACACCACAAAAGTGTTAAAACCGCTCTGGTCCTTAACATTCAACATCGCAAAAACAGGCCGGTCATTAAGGGGTTAAAGAGAGATCTAATGTTTAAACTACATTTATTGTATAGTCTGTTTAATTTAGACTTTCTTATCTCCTACTCTGTTACTAGCCTTCTACACCAGACAGGAGTCTCCCGTGTGTGATTAATGTTCAAGTTACAAAACAATATAGAATTCTAAAGCAAGTTAACATCTAGGAGGGAGCCCCAATCTGGAACCCTGCAATTTTATTGCTGGTCTGATCCTAATGACTTGAGTAGCTACCATCTGAGGACAATCAACAGACAACCATCCAGCAAAACTCTGCATTCTCAGGTGATTTTTAAGATACAATCTTCTAATTCAAATATTCCACAAATGCTGATGGGAGATAAAACTGGGATTCATGAGACTATTTTCCATAAAACAAAATTCAACATATGCGTGCTTTCAGATTGAAAATTGTCACAATGGTATGTTCTTCTATTTCTCTATTAGTTTAAAAAAAAAAAATAGTGGGAATAACTTTTCCAATAATAAAAAAAAACTTTTAACAAATCTTTCTCTAGTCGGCAATTTTCTTTTTTTTTTTTATTTTATTTATAAATGATTAATTGAATCTCTAGACTTGGACAAGAAATCTAGCTTCCTTCATGTACATAATGATAGTCTGTTGAAATAGGTAAAACATTAAAGAAATAAAAGCCAACAAACAGTTATACAGTCAGCAGAAATGGAGCACCAACAGGGGCATACTCTCCTTCTTGTGGTCCCTGACAGCTTCATGAAATCATCTCAGAACCACACCTAAATCAAAAGGTGGCTTAGCTTTTCACCTCCAGGCAAAGGCAGCATGATGAACTCAAGATGTCAGCTTGAGGACCACAAGGAGGGCTTGGGAGGAGCAGGACGACGGCTCCTCATCCTCCTCCACCTCTTATCTAAAACCTGAGTTGTTAAATTTTCACTGTAATAATTTTTCCTAGGCCACTCACATAACTTGTTCCCCTAGAATACAATACGTTTTTTAGATTATTGAGCCAGGAAGTGCATAAGGGGGTCCAGCCCTTATTTTAACATGAAGACTGATTGCCTAAACAGTGGTACAAGGCCTCGCTGTCCCATCCTAGAGTGTTGAGGAGATGGATGGGGAGGTGAGGGTGACGGCCAACAGGGGGAGCCTTACTCATTTGATATGCGTTTTGAAATGTTTTATAATTCGCTCTGTCAGGTCATATGAACATTTATAATAGGAAAAAAAATAAATTATAGTCATGGAATTGGCAACCCCATACCTGACTGTTATGTTTTGCTTCTCCTACCTTATTAACTTGCCAAAGAGGGGTGGGCAGTTGTCAGGACAGGCCTCCTTTTATGGTAAAAGTTGCCCTCTTTTTACTTAGTGTCGGGTTGATTGTTACCTCTTGTTAACAGCTTACCCTAGTTTTGATAATATGGCCTGTCCCTGAATGCAGCCGTTTTGGCACCTTTTTCATTTGAGGGAGCCGAGGGGAGAGGCATCTAGAGGAGTGCCGGATGTATACTTACTGTAGTTTTATGTCTAATGACCCGTAGGTCCGAAACGTATAAGCTGTTTTTTTCTTGATCTTTTTTCCCTCTGTTTGTCTTTGCACCCAGTGGATTAAACTCTTTAGTTTTGGTTTCAGAGCGCTAGCTATTTTTGGCAACCTTTTTTGTTTTTCTTTTTGTCTCATTCCTACCTTACTAACAGGCACAAGTACTTACTAGCTTTTGCCCTTGCTAGACATTAGTAACCGGTCATAGTGGCTTGGGAGCATCACCATCCCTTCCAAAGGCCATCTTAAACCTGGGGGCGGGAGGGGGATTGTCGCCCCTAACATTTCCTGGCGATCTGTGACTCCAAGATTTAGTTCCTGTATATACTTTAGTTGTGTTGTGTTCATGTTTATTTTTCATATGACCTCCCTTACTTACCCTTTTCTTTGTGCTGCTGTGCATGATCTTCTCCAGGTGGATTTTTAATGCCTTGTTGACAGCCCCAGGAAACTTGCACATCCTTCTCAATCACTATATATATATCATTCCATGACTACATTGTATAACTAAATGCAAGGGTCTCAACTCACATGTCTTCAGGAAATGCACTAAAATAGAATCCACTCAACCTCTGTTACAGACAAAACATTTGATAGGGTTTATGCGTT